GAAACGAGCATTTGGACGTTTTCTCAGGGAGGAAGGAAGCTTCCATAGGTGTCGGCAGGGGGTTGCATAAGGGGCAGTTGCCACCCCCAAACCAACTAAAATTTGAACACGAAATCGCAAAAGATATACGATTGTGCTACACTAAAAAAAGAATGTGAACAGGAAGGAATACACAACGTTTCGGGCGGACGCCCTTCTTCAAGGACCAGATATAAATACAGACAGCACTCTAACATATTTTTTTTTTAAATTGTTATAAAACAGAGCGCCATTCATTTATGTAAATGACCCTAACTGCAGTTTTAAGTTGAGGTGACGAAGGAGAAACATATCGAAGAAAAATATGTAAATAAATAGCAACATTTATTTTCTAAAACCTCACCCTAAACGTTAGAGATGCCAGGTAAAGCCTGGGTTAAATTTTAGTTCTTATCAATCTAGTCGCAGTATGTAGGCGTTGATCAGTGTTTATATCCGGAAATAAAACATAATTGGGGACTTGCATTCGTGGACTTGTATTTGGGGTGTGGGTATTTCTCAGTTTGTATCTCTTTTTATAAATCTACAGCTTTTACGACTTCGCGTTTTCGAAAGTGAAATGGTATGTTTTCTCGGAGATATTGCCTCTAAGCTCGCACACTCATTTTGGTGATAGCTAGCTTTTTCTCTCTTCATATTTTGAGTATTATGAAAAAAACAAAAAAACAACTGTTCATTGGGGAAACTCAAATGTCATAGAAGAAGTGTAGTTCGTCGATAGGATCTTTGAACTGTATTTTATTAAGACTCGAAACATCGTATACAAGCTTGCTTGCCTTCTTGCATATTTCCTCGTGTTCTGAAAGTATATGGATGAGCGTTTGAGGATATATTTTCAGTTCTTATTTTGATGCCGTGTTGCAGAATCAGATAAATAAGAAATGACCCGTGATTCCTTCGTCAGCGATAACCCATTGGTCCTGATATGTTTGTCCGATTCACCATTCACGAGAGTTTTGCGTCCGAGCTGTGGGAATTAAATCAAGAGTTGTCACAATACTTGCGGGGGGCCTTTTACCGCATTTACTCGAATCTAATGTGCACCTTTTTCCCGGGGAAATGGGTCCAAAAATCTCATGCGCGCTAGAATCGAGTGCGACCCAAAACTGCGCTACCATATCGCCATCGACATTTCAAAATGGCCGCTCCATTACGCGCCGAGAAGCTTAGAGCGTAGCCAGCGCTTAGCACAGTCGTGCGTTTCTTGCATTCGTATCGGCATGGAAGTTCCCACTGCAAAGACAATCCAGCATCATGAAGTTCACCATGATGCTGGATTCAAAAGAACAGTGATACTCTGCACGGACAGCGATGGAAATCGGGTTGCCTTACGTGCGTTTAGTGTTCCAGAAACTTGCAACACTGCAGAACTTCGCCAGATGGGCGAAAGATGCGTGGTGCACGATCCCGTCTTCCATGGCTATCGAGGCCTTCAAGAAGTGCGGAATTTCTAACGCTATGGACGGCACCGAAGAAGAAATGCTTTGGGCCGTTGACAGCGATAAGGAGTCGTCCGACAGCGATGACGAGTGATGCATACCGCCCCACGGGCGCAGCCCCGGACCGGCGTCGTGATGACGACCTTGCCGGCGAGAGACAGGGCCGTTCATTTTATCGCAAGATCGAAGCATTTGGAATAAACCTTCGTTGTTCCAAGTGAGAAAAAGTTTAATTTCTGTATCCAACCTACAAATATGGTGCGCGTAACAATCAAGGTCATCGCGTTTTTTTTTTTTTCCTTTGGACCTCAAAAGATGGGTGCGTGTTACAATCGAAGGCGCGTTAGATTCGAGTAAGTATGGTACATAAGCAATTAGATCTGCGAACTTAAGAATGTTTATGCCAACATCTGTTTTAAAATTTTATATGTATAATATGTTGCAAAATTGTCGCGGGAATGTTTTGGTTGGGACGCATTAATATACACCCTTTACATTTATTTTAGCTAACACATTTCCGTAGATTGCAGGAATATTTTTTTACCATGTGACACTGCCGCCTGCCGCCTGCCCCCCCTGCCCCCCCCTCCTTCCCTTTTCCAATTACAAAAAAAAGAATGACAGGTGCGAAAGTTTTGCCCCCACCAAGAAAAATCCTGCCGACGCCCATAAAAGCTTCGGACACTTCGTGGTTCCCAACCAGTTCTACAGCCTCATGAGTGCCAACATTTCCGAAGCTTTATTCCACCACCTTTCCATCTTATTTGCATGAGAAGCTTTGAATGTGTAAAAATGAAGCTAATTATTGCTGGATGCTATGTGAAGTGAATTATTTCTCAAATACGTGAACTTATTTACTTTCAGTGAACAGCTGATCCAGCTTGGCATGTTGAATGCGTAATTATGTGGAACAATGTGACATTTGTAGATATATGTTAGTGGTAATTGTAATATTTCTTTGGGTTCAGGAGAGCCGCGGTGCCACAGAAAGGCAAGTACTAGCCTATTCCCAAAAAGGTGTGCGACGCCGCATGTAATAATGAAGTGATGAGATTGTGCACAGATGACAGAGAGGTGCTGGCGATCATAAATGGAGCTTGTGGGCGAGGGTAACGAAGTGATTTTGACAATGTTTTATTTTTGCACTTATGCAAGTGCAGTGCTGTACTTGCCATATTTACTCGCAGAATGAACACACTTTTTTTTCCGAAAAATCGATGCAAAGTTGGGGGGTGCGTTCATTACGCGAAGTAAATGCCTACGTTTTACTCGCATAATGAACCCATAATGAAATGAACCCATAATGAACCGACCTTTTATCATGAAAAATCGAAGTAACTTCTTACCTCTTTGCCCGCGGCGCCGGACCCCTTAACCAAACTAAGCTGTGCAATAAAAAAAAAATCCTTTTTTTTTTCCTTCTAATTCCTTGGGGTTTTTTTTGTGTGCCACCTTTCCCAAGCTGTTTTGTTTGCTTAGGCGAGGCCTCTCGCTTATCTTTCTTATCTCCTTGCGCGCGACCCACGACCCCCAATAACCAAACTGCGCTGCGCAAAAAAAAAAAAAAAAAAAAAAAAAAAAAAAAAAAGCTCCTCTTTTGCTTTTTTTTTTTTTTTCTCAGTTCCGTTTTTTTTTTTTTTTTTTGGGCCGCGTTTTGCAAGTTGTTTTGTTTGTTTAGAGGGCTTCTCCGCTCCTCTTTCTTACCTCCTGGCGCGCGGCGCGCGACCCCCCGCAACCAAACTGAGCTGTCTAAAAAAAAAAAGCTTCTCGTTGTTTTTGTTTTCTCTTAGTTCCCTGGTGTTTTTTTTGTTTTTTTGTTTTTTTGCCGTTTTTTGCAAGCTGTTTCGTTCGCTTAGAGCGCTTCACCGCTTCTCTTTCTTACCTCCATGCGCGCGGCGGCGCGCGAACCCAAAGTCCAGACTGCGCTGTGCAAAAAAAAAAGCTCCTCTCCATGTTTTTTTTTTTTTTTCTTGCTTCCGTTAGATTTTAGCGAATTTTTTTAACAACTTTTGCAAGGCGTTTTGTTCGCCCACGCTGCCCACGCATTCGCGACCTCGCTGCACCAGGATAGAAAAGTGCGTTCATTTCGCGCGCGTGGGGGGAGGGGGTCAAAATTTTGACTCGGAGTTGGGGGTGCGTTTATTACGCGAGTGAAAAAAAAGTCGAAATTTTGAGAGCCGACTTGGGGGGCGCGTTCATTACGCGAGTGCGTTCATTGTGCGAGTAAATACTAATTTGTTTGTGCATGACTAATGTGCAATAAATGTGCCTCGAAATATTTCGGTTGCATCTCTCGATTCCTTATTAAATGGCTGGACATCTCGAAACAGAGGAACAACGAATGCACATGACTATGCACCTTATACAGCTGAAAGCACAATCGCACATCGTAGGCATATACTACATTAGGGACTTTTAGCACACCGTTGCCATGTTCCGCGTGCCGCACTATCGGAGCTTTTGAAGCATGCTTTTGAAACATGTGCCCGGTGTGGTACCGTGACCGCAGGGAGTGCGCTTAAAAGCGTGCTTCAATGGCTCCGATAGTGTGGTACGTGGAACACGGTGTGCTAGAAGTCCCTACTGGGACCGGGAATGCTGCTCAGGAGCCTCGCTCCAGCACAACCCCGAAGCGATCGTCCGAGAACCACCCTACAAAAATAAAAGGGCGCCATGTTGGATTTTTTATGGCTTGGCATAGAAACTGCTAGAAAGTAGGCTACTATGTTCCAAACGTGTTATAATAAAGCCGTTTTTGAAAAGTCAGCCATGTATTTTATGAATAGTATGATTAGTTGTTAATGTGATTTTGTAATCTACCAAATATAAAATATTGCTACACACGTCGGCAAGCGAGCGCATGCATGGCACAGTGGTTACTGCACTTGACTTTCGCCCAGAGGCCCAGGGTTCGATTCCTGGGAGGTATGCATCTTTTATTTATTCTTTCAGTTTAATGTTCTGGTAAATTCGACAACCCTGTTGCTTGTTCGAGGTCCGAATGTTCTAGTCACCGAACCTTCTACGTGGATTGTTCCAGAAGCCAACGCATGTACATAAGGGGCTCCGCGTGGCGATCCGCAGTCAGTTTTGCCCCAGCGCTCTATCCTGCTGTTTCACCGACATCGACGCCTGCGGCGCTAACCTACTTCTCTTTTGATTTGGGCACAAGTTCGCCCCATTAAACGTTTAGTTTCCTTAAGTTGTTTGTCGCCTCATCATTTGTCATTCGCGACAATATGTCGACTTGTTCAAGTAATGAGAGCCACCCACCACGCCAAGGAATTCGGCACTACTGTACAAAAGTCAACTCCATTGGCCCTATGGCAAATGTCCGGGGGTTGGCCACGTGCTTCCAGAGACTGGCTTCCAGGGGATTCAGCAGATATCGGCGGAGCGGCGCTGCTTTAAAAACGACGAGCGCCCACTGGCAGATGTGCGCCCCAAAAAAGTTGATTCCGGAGCACCCTCGAAAAGACTAATGGAAATCGTCCTCAATATGATGTAAAATGTGAGTCATACCAAACTTACTGGATAACTTTTCAATGGCTTTCCTCCCCTCAGAAAGCAGTACAGTGCAGCTGGGACTGAACGATCGGCAGTGATTTCATTCCCTAGCCTGTCGGCAACTTCTTCTGGTGTAAAGTCACGATGTGGATTCAAAAGCATCTCCTTGATGGTCTGCAACTTGTCACAGTAGAACCTGGGAGAGAATAAACTTTTGCATTTGCAACATATACAAATACTAAAGCCTTGGAACTGAAAATGCATTGCAGTAATATACTGTAAAATAATACTAATAACCTTTATTTTGATGTGTCCATAAATAGCACTAAGCCCAAAAAGTGGTACACTGTCATAAAAAATAATAATAAAAAAACACTTACAAAATAAGCAAAAAAAACAAAAAAAAAAAAACAAGAGAGACAAGCAAGGTCATAATTATACACACACTAGTGGCACGATTCCTCAACAAAGTGTTTGTCACACGAAGTATCTACAGCATGTAAACTAATGCTTTTAAAGGGAAGCTGAAGCACTTTCCAAGAAATCTGAGTTAGGAGTGGACTTCTATGCTGAGCGCAAGTTCGTCTGCTCCTTCTCCAGGGGTTGTAATTACGTTAGAATGCCGAGCTCTGATTGGCTCTGACTGAACCACTATCTTTAAATCGGAGCCAATCGGAGCTCGGTGTTCTGATGTCACCACAACCCCTGCAAAAGAGGCAGACAAACATGCGCTCCGCATAGCTCTTTGTCCTGTGAATTCAGTTACCGCACTTATCTTGGGCAGAAGTGAACGTAAACCCTATTTATTTTAAAAAATATGTGTAGTGATTGCCGCCGGGCATGGGGAGATCCTCTGCCACCTGTTATTTGTCCAGAGCGTAGTGATGTCATTGACAGCATCCCTGAGCCAGCTTAGTAGCAAGCAAGGGTCATCCGACGCCGCTGATGACGTCTTCTTTACAAAAAGATTTTCTGCAAGGTACAAAAGTCCTCCTCACCACCCCCCTCGTTTTCCCCTCTGCCACTGCTATTTTGACAGAGAGGGACTCTGTTAGGGCTGGATGAGCCCGGATAAGCTCCCGGCTTATGCGGTCCCAAGATGCAGTAACAAAGGGAGTCCCCCTTCCGTATAGAGTGGGAGAGGGAGAAATGTGAAGGGTGGCAAGGAGGATTTTCCTACCTTGCAGAAAATAATTTTGTAGGTTGGATTTTAAGATACATAATTTTTAAGGTGTCTACATTACAACATTTACTGTTTGTTCAAATTCAAGGACCTCTTCGCTTCCCTTTAAGGCACTTTTGACTGCCCACAAAAATCGGCTTCTCAACGTTTCGTGCTGCAATTTACTACAGAGGTGTAAGTAAGTAGTGGAAGTTTACAGTAAAAAAAATCAAAAAATGAACTTGCCTTGTAAAAAAAGTCGCCACTACGAACACGATACACGCATAGTGGGAAGTGCTGCCGACAGGTGGCATACTCCACGTCATGAAAGCACCGGCTGATTCGGCTTCTTTTGCCAGATCGTCTACCATCATAATCTGAATTGTCCAGCCGTCTCTTAAAGCGGCGCACATAATCTGTCGACAGCACTTATCCCTACCTATATATCGTCTACATCCGCCCAGAACAGGTTCCCGCTTTCTGTTTCTTTTTTAACAAAATAAATTTATTCCTAAATTTTTTTTTTTTTTTTTACTGTATACTTTTACCACCTGCTTGCTCCTCTATAGTAAATTTCAGTGAAATATGTTAAAAAAACAATTTTTGTGGGCCGTCTTAAGTGCCTGAACCCCTTTAACAGTTTTGGACGAGCCTAGCTCTTCAATGTGGAGCCATCCCCAAACCGTTCAGGACAAATATAAGTCGTCTGCTTTCCCCGGTTCACGCACTCAACCATTTTGGAAGAACCAGGCTCGCTCATGGCTTAGTTTGAGGCCCTGCTAATAAATGACACACTGAATTTTTTTTTTTTTTTTTATTTCTTCCATTTTATTTGTGGCTAGAAACTTGATTTTGAAGGCAACAAATGTAATTTTGAAAACAATTAAGCAGTTGAGGGTCAGAAATTTCCCAAAGCTAAAAACGGTTAAAAGCGTTAGTTTATTTATATGTTGCACTACAGATTGGCCTAGCTGGTCGAGTTGCATTCTTGTAGTTGGTGACATATGAAACAAAACTAATGGATAAACACGCATGCCACTCTTCGCTCCCTTCTTTCGTCTGCGGCGTACGGCGCGCTGACCTTGGGCGTGGAATGGTGGAGCCGCAGCCTCGCTGACACGCAGTGCCATCGGGTGAGCGATCGTTGAAACTTACGGGCAGCGGCCAATGGGAGCCTTGTCGACGCTCGTCAGCCAATGCCCCATTGGCTGACGAGCGTCGACAATGAATGATGAATTTCCGACTTCGGTCCCCGAAGCCGAAAATTCATCAGCTTTACTTTGCTCTTTTGGGATCAGGGAAACTAGGTGCCTTGTCTAGGCTTTTCGCGTGGTTTCATAGCTGGGAACTGGCTACACTTGGAGAAAGAATTTAAGATGCCGTTTTCGCGCTTCAAACTCATGAAGTTGGCTCGCTCCATGAGACAGTTAATGCTTTTGCATTAAAAGGGCATTTGAAAAGACTGGATCGAAAGAAGGCACGAGAGCAACAGTGCTTAAAAGGAGTTATGAATAAACTGCCTCATTGACAACGTTATGCAAAAACAATAAATCATGTAAATGATGTCTTTTAATAAACAAAAAACATTATCCCAGTTTCTTATAAAGAATCGATCATAACTGTAGTAGCACTTGCACACAACACATCTGTAGTAGAAAATTCCAATGAATACCAAGTATCTGCTTATGTGGCAACAAGCGTCTACACGCCAGTTTCCTCGGGCTGTTCACAACTTGGTATGTGATGTCGCTTGTTGCTTCCATCAAATCAGCAAACGCTACCTAAACTTTTTTTCTCATGTTATCAATCACTTCCTCAATGTTCCGTCTTTCTGGCTGAAGAATTTTCAAAATGCCCCTTCTGGGCTTCCAAGAATTCATCCTTACAGTTCAGGCGGAGATCCTCAGCTCCTTTTGATTGGAATATTCAGAATATTGCCCGCCTTTTTTGCTCAATTTGAATTCAATACATTCTGCGCAACCCGGTGTTGAAAATCGTTGAGCCTCGAGAATACCACGCACCACAATACTAGGGTGTAGAAAGAAAACATGTGATATTGGAACTGCTTCTGGTGGCAAGGCATTTAAAGAACAGTAACTAAAGTAACAGTTTCTTGTTGAAAATTTAAAAATCAAAACTTGTAATGCAAATGTTAGCAAAGTTTAAGTCATTTAAACTCCTTATTCTGAAACAATGAGGAAACCTATAACTGGACAGGTAAGATACACATTCGATTGTTAGAATCGTGCTTGAACAACGGCTGTAACTCACCGATCCTCCTCAACTTTTTCCATCTTCTTTGTCAAGACCTCCAGAAACTCCTCCACGTCGAGAGACTCTCGTGGATCCAGGGTAAGCGCCAGCTGAATTGCGAGGCAAATCAGCACTGCACCATTGTAGCCCCACCTGTGGGCGTGAGTCAGTTTCGCCTGGTCTTGTGCCACCTTAGTTTAAAAGTAAAATATGAACAAAGGTTAATACACTCAGTTATAGCCTACCCTGAAATACCCTGAAAAAAATCCGGTCATCACACTGAAACGCATGCGCATAGTGCTGTACACACGCCGTCCTCCTGTCCTTACTGCGTGCATGCGCAGGTTGCGAGAGAGTGAAGTATATGTGTTACTCTTTTCGCTTTATCGTGCGCATGTGCAGGTTGCGAAATGAGGCACGCACTGGATGTACTGGAATCTTTACAATGGCTTGCAAGAGGAAGGAGCAGACTGAAGAGGAGGTAGTTGAACAGAAGCAGCGACACGCCGAGTGTGATGTGCTCGACACGCTTAAGAGAGACTAGAAGAAAGAGCGTGACATTTGCTAGGGCTAAGGAAGCAAGGCAGGCTCAATCTGCTATCGAATAAAAATGTACGGACATTTGATGCTTAGTTTCCTCCTATAAGGTTTGTTGCAGTTCAATCGGCGGAATATAGTCTTTGCAGAAGTCTAAGCAATGCCATTGCATTTGCAGTGACGTGATTAACCCTAATAACTTTGTAGCACCTTTTGGAGCACACGCCACACCATTTTTATTCATACCACTGAGAATATTCGTATGTTTGCCTATCAAACTCAAAAATGTGCATGCTTTGCCTTCACACTTCTGTGCAATGGCAGGATTAATTTCCTCAAACACAGAACTAGCTGTTCAGTTGCACATAGAAGCACTAGGCATGGCAACAAGATGCTGATTGATGAAGGACAGTATGGACTGTTGTGAATGGTCATTTAAGGTATGAAATAAAATGTAAACCAAATAGTATATACCACTTAAATAATGTTAGAATAATATTGAGCACACAAATCAATGTTTCATTCAAGTTCTAAAAGTTGTAATAAAACAAAAATTCTTAATTCAGATTTTAAAAAAAAAAAGTCATTGATTTATGAAAATCAATTACATGTTATATGTAGAACATCATAATAACGGAGATCAGCATGTTAATGATAAGTATGCATTCTTAAAACAATACCAAAGTCATTAAGGTTATTTCCAAGCTTCCTTCTATTGCTTCACCTAATTTAGTTTTAATTTATTCTATTGACTGTACCTCGAACAAATAAAACAAATATGAAGGTGACAACTAAACAACGGAGTTCAAATAAAAAACCTACAGCGCAGTTCATATAAATTTTATTGCGAGTACCCTCGCTAAGTCCTGAATTTTAATAAGACATTGCCAGAATACCGCAGTTTATCATAAAAAATAGCCCCAGTTTAATTCAGAAATTGTTACTGCAACTAAGAGCTGTTGCATAACATTCACGAAATTCCTTTTTTTAATATACCCTATGCTTGCGTTTTTAACGTCCCGCTCTGAGGGAATGCTTTCCCTTTAGCAATCGGATGCACTGCAGCGAAACAGGATAAGCAAAATTGCAATGCTTACTTCGCAGTTGCCGCTTGACTTCAGCACACAAGAGGCGGTGAGAGGCGCACTCAACAAAGCTAACTTACATGCAAGAGCAGACTAAGAACATACGATATTGCAAAAATTCAGAATACTGTCAGTGTTCGACACTGACAGAGAGATCAAACAGCATGGTACCGTAAAATTCCAAGCAAGCGCCCCCATCCACGCAAGTTCAAATTACCAGCAAAGTGGGAGGGGGCGCTATTCGGAATGACACCGAAATTCAAGATGGCGACTATCAAATTTTCCCGCCAGGAAAAAACAAAAAGTGCAGTGCACATGGATTTAAAATTTTATTTATCTCTGGGCACATGAACTTTAGTAGGCCAAAGATTTGTTACTGCTATGTTAATCACTTTCAAAACCATCCTTAGAGTCAGTTTGAGTTAGAAGCTACCAAGTTTCCCAACTGCATACTGTTGGCTATTTTGACAGCCTCTTCAGAGAAGCTGGTTGCTACCGGCACGTCCTGCACTTCTTTCGAGCTCCAGAAAAACAGCACATTGTCCACGTATTCACTGAATACTGGCGCGCCGTTACTTAGCTTTCGTCAAAGCTTGACTTTCCTGTATTTTGAGGCCACTAGATGACCTCAATTTTCTTTGCCACTATGTAGACATGCATAGCCGACCGACACTGCCAAAACAAAATGACAAATGGCGCGTGGTGATCAGGCTGCAAAGCAGGATTGGATTGGGTTCTTGGACTGAATGAGGCAGGACAGTGCTCTCCGGGCGCAGCATGTGATAAGGGCGCGGAGCAGGGAGGTGGGGCGTTTTCCCGGAACGACGCGGAAATGTGAAATTAGCCGTGAAGTTGGGAGGGAGGGCTTTTGCATGGCTGGGGGAGCTTGCTCCCAATTTTACGGTACATCACTTGCGGCTAAAACCATAAGTACTGAAAATGCGCAAGCCTACCATAACGATCTGGACGTGTAGCGGTGCCCAAGTCATTATATTTTCACTATTAATAAAGTGAAATAAAATTTTGGCACTACGTTGGTGCAAGTTCTTTACATTTGGGCTAAATGTAGTAGGATGTAGAAGTGTAAGCCCTTTGGCGCAGTTTGGCGCAGCAACCGCATTACTGTATTTGGAGATACGTAGTCTGTAACAAAACACCTAAAAAAACCATTTTTGTTTTTTTGCACGTCATTCATTCAGTTTAATAAAGCTTGGGTTTGGGCTAGTTGGTTTTTGATTATTTCTAAGCTTGTAAACCTTAACAGCACAAAACACACACACACACACACAAAAAAAAAAAATACAATTGAACGAGTTGGTTTTGAATCAATGTGTCACAGGTGAGGAAATCCTACCTTGATTGCTTTTGGTTCATCCAACCGATAGAAGAGGGCCACAGGTGCCACGCGCATGGCAGCCCCGTTGCCATATGACCCGGTTCCATCAAACTGAGACTTTGCTGGTTCCCACACATCTCTGAAGCGAGTTTTCCTGAGCTGCGAGAACACAACTCTGACTTTTGGACCATACTCTCCTCGACAGTCCTCGTTTCCAAAGAACTCTTCTGTGAAACTGCAAAGAACAAATGAGAAGAATCTTGCCACAGAACTGCAAAGAGTAAGGTAAAACCCGCTTTGGAACACATTCTATGGTCAGGCGAAATGAGCCCGGACTCAAGTTAATCATGCTCGGTGAAAAAGCACCACACAGACGAATGGACAGATGCAGGAAAGGCCTAGAAAACTTCTTTGTGGTCATTAGTAATATTCCAACAGTACTGCGGCAGCTCGCCGCCCTCGAGAGAGAGCTCACTTTTCTGATAAGAATGCGAAGCATTCAGACAATTGGTATACTGGGTGTCTGACCAAACATTGGCTGAATTTTTCCTGAGATATACACGCATCTCACAACAAACTGGTCAATGCCATATCAGTCACTACCAAGGGGCCAATGTCGTGAGGTACATAGTGCTTACACTAATTAAGTTTTAACTAGTTTTGCATAATTAAATCTTTTATTAGCAAAAATAATAGGTTCCAATTAGCACCATTGAAAACCACTAAATTTGTAAATTTGATTAATACTTGTAGCACACAGGAAGCATTGTGTTGTGCAGAGGTTACCCACTGCTTGTGCAACAGACACAATGCTGGCGGTGCAAATGTGGACGAAATAAAACTGAAAAACTGCATGGGTGCATAGAATTTGGATGTGTTTTTGGGACCCAGAACAACAAAGCATATGCATTCCACATCCTTCTGAAAGTGACTTTGTGAATTTCGATGATGCCCAGCAAGTTTCTAATTGGAATAACATGACTATTTCTATTAAATAAAACATTTATTATGCAAAACAAACTAAAACTGAATTATCCTACACACTATGTACCGTATTTACTCGAGTAATAGCCGCACTATTCATGCAAGGCCCTTGCGTCTGCTTTCCCGCAGAACACATATACAACCAATCATCGCATTGCGCATAAATAACATAGCGAATAACTAGATCGTGAACACGATTCTCCATACAAATGCAACCTTCACAGATGGTATCTTCACGCGAAGATGTTATCTCTGTCCTGTAGACCGCTGGAATCATGCTGCCGATCGCAGTGATTGGCAAGCCGCATGCTCCGCGGAAAAGCGAACACTCAGGTTTTCTTCATAAACAGTGCGGCTATTACTCGAGTAAATACGGTACCTCAATAAATAGGTCCCCTCACAGTAACTAATGCAATACTGATCCGATTTCTGTGCAATGCTTTACACAAAAAATTTTGGTCAATATTCGGTGAAATGTAACACTCTGTATATCTAGCTTCCAGCTGAAGACTTTCTCTGGGCAAGTGTATTTAATTAACCAACTTTTTTCCGACAAAACTAATTTATATCATGAAAGGCTCTAGCTCTCATTCTGCTGTCTGTGAAAAGGCTACTTTACTAAATTTGTAGACTAGTGCTATTTAAATTATGAAGCTCAACATTCCCAAAAAGTCAATATTTTGTGATAAATGAAAGCTTAAAGGGACCATGAAATGATTTTAAAATCGAGTTTCATCCACCGCACATCGTAAAAGGTGTGAAAAGAAACACAAAAACACAAAAATAGGGAGCCAAAAAAAATTATTTGCTATAGAACTTTTAAAAGAAAACTGGACTCTTTTGCGCCTTCCTTCCTTCGCCTGTTCACTACGATGCATCCGCGGAAATGGAGCACGTCAGCCAAATCCAGGTCGCCTATTGGGTAAGAGCCTACCTCACCAGCACCGCGATCGTAAACAATAAATAGCCGGCGAATGTTTCCTAAAAGTTTTGTTAAATAATATTCAGATCCACATTTTGTAGCATAATTAGAGATGTGTGGCGAAAATTGCCAAATTTGATAATGCTGAGAGCCAAGCGCCATCTATCGTGGTAAACGAAGCAACTACTGCGCGTGCGCAGTAGGGCAGGGCCGACAGTTACTTGGGTGGCAGCGACCGACGAACGTTTATTTTCTTTGTTTTCCTTCCTCTCAAAACTCTGACTGACTGAATGTTTATTTTTCTATGTGTTCTTCCCGCGCGTGCCGACTTCAAGCAGCAAGAAAACAGTACTTAAAACAGACCACGACGAACAAGAACGCTGGATCCACCGACTCCGACGAAGCGAGCTGCTCAGAATATAGGCCTAACAGGCATTCCGACTCGGCGCTGCGTTGCTTCGTCGCAAGACCGTCTGCCTACGACCGGCTGGCGTGCTAAATGGAATATGCCCGCGCGACCCTTGTGGACCCTTCCCGTATTATCGTTTGATCACTGACCTCAATTCTAGATTAAGAGGTGAGGTCAATCTCTTCCCCTTGTTTTCCGAGGCAGTGTTGACGAACACTCGTCGAAAAGGGACTCTCGTCGATTCTATCTTCTTGTTTTGTGTGATATAGAGCTGAAATAAACGCCGTATGGATTACCTTCGTAACACGGTATGTACACTTTGTTATTGGTATGCCATTTTTATTCTGACAGACTGCACGTCACTGTCGAGCTACAACAGTTCCGGTCCAACCTTTCTTTGCCGAGTGTCGCGTCAGTATCGAGTTGCAATCGTAAAAGATCGGTCCCGAAGCGCTTACCAACAGCGCGAATACAGCACTTCCATCAAGCGCGCGCGTCCGCTACGAGTGTAAACAGGTATTTACGCAGCTCTTGCTGACACTCGTAGTTCAAACGTATCTTTTTTAACGTCGGCTCGCCCCTGCATCTTTGAGGCCGCGAAAAATGCCATCTACGTCGCTTTGCAAACGACTGACATGGGCCGGCCCTTCTGCCAACAATGACAGGGTGGTTGACTTCTGGAGTCTTCACCGGAAGACTCGCTGCACTTCCCAACAGGCATACCGGCGTATGGGACTAGTCTCATGCTGTCGCTGTAGCGCAACATATCTCATTGAATTTCGCTCAGCTGCGATACGGCGATGAGAGGCGCCGATTCAGGAAATACGTCGGTGACATCAGCGCAGTAAAACCTAGCGGCGCACCCCAACTCGTTGCCGCTAACACTCCCATTCTCCTACTGCCGAGAGAACTTCCGGTTCCGGAAACGGCCTACGTCACGGCTTGTTTTGCGGTCAGTTGGAGAGAATGAAAAAGTCGATATTTCAATAATTTTTTGTGTAGAAGTTAATAAACAGAGACGAAAACGGATGCCTGTTCGGCATTCCGTGAACATTGACGGTTTAATGTAAAAGTTATCTGGAAAAAGTAAAAAGGTCATTTCATGGTCCCTTTAAGATAATTTGTGGTAAAACAAACAAACCTCTAATAAACACCTTCCAGTTCTGCTTAAATATAAACTAAAAAAAGCAGAACAGCGTGGCTAATTAATAATGAGGTCGAGAAACAAGTTCAATCGAGGAGAAATGTATTTAATCCAAGAATTTTGTCTTCAATTAATGTGGATAATGAATGGGCAGAAGAGCAAAACAACCCTCTGCAACAATCAATCTCAGTCTCAAAATACAGTAAAACCTCGTTATAACAAAGTTGAAGGAGCGATCGTAATTATTTCGTTATAACCATTAGTTTGTTATAGCCAATGTCCATTTCTTCCCTATTAGCAAGCAAGGGGAATTATGATTGCTTTGTTATATCCATTAGTTTGTTATATCCCATTTTGTTATAACGAGGTTTCACTGTACTGAGCTCGTAACCATTCAGGAGTAACCACCTCCTGCTTTCTACAGACTTCAGAGTTGGTTTGGCAATAGTCGGATCCAGTTTATATGTTCTCAGTTGATGCACTTTTCTGGCTGCTACGTTGACAAATGCCGCTTCCTTTGACTCCCCCATAGGAAAATGCCCATTAATTTTCAGTCTGTTCCATTTGCCCTCCCCGTCCTTACTAAAATACATCAAGCAAAAAGTGCATTAAAAACAGCCACCGCAAAGTAGAGCGGAGGTTCCGATTGAGATGGGCCATTACGAAGAAGGGAGATCCAATGTATGATACACTTTGGCACGCCCTACTGTAATCTTGCACTCTTTAGCTATTGTGCAATAGGGTCGATATAAATTATGAAGCAAACCGAAAAACACTTTTTCCTGGCGCTCTGTCCGGCTCTGTTTACCTTACTTGTCCACCCTTGTCGGAAACTCCTTTCCTTTTCTTTTGGAAAGACATAACATTTGATGCCTTTTTGCCTGGTGCTGTGATTGTAGCACCCTGGCACACAACAGGTGAAGCCACCCGGTTGAAACCGTGCATAAACACCCAATTAAAAGTCCCGTGCTAACCCAAAATTTTCAAACGCCGGGCATACAACACGCATTGGCACAGCCAGAAAACTGCAGAGAACTACAGGTAGCTAAATGCACCGCGGGAGAAATGGTGTCGCGCAACTCCAGGTGAGATCAATCTATTAGACCCCTATATTATGCATGCCTGGTCGTATAACTCATCTGCATAAACTGCATTAGTTTAGCTTTCATGGCTTTTTTTTTTAAAACAAATCTGTAAAGACCAAAAAAAAAAAAGAAACACTGAAAAGTAAAACATTTACAGCGTTACTAAAAGAAAAAGTAAAACCTAAAAAAAAAAACTTAGAAGCACATTAACTCTTCAAATTTTTTTAGGCTCACTTTACAACGAAAGTTACGTATGACACCTTACACAATTGAATATATAATACCAATCTTCATTCCAATCAGAAAAAGATGGCCAGGACTCTAAACTGAAAATCGCAGCATCATCACCGATTTCACAGGGGATTTTCACAGGCTCACCAACCATGAAAATGACATAGAGTGCTCACCATACATCCTGAACCTTTTCAGAGCCCAACCTTTTAAGGTTGTTCAACAAGCAAGTCTCACCTTTCGGCAACATGACGTGGATTAAAACCATTGTTTTTTATCAATGACTCAGCAAGGGCATGTGTCATTGCAGTGTCGTCAGTGTACATGTAATGTCCACCAAAGGGATGTCCTGAAATTAAAATGAAAGATGGCTCTAAGAGTTCTACTTGTTATACAAATTCAATATTTTATCATCCAAGTTTTTAAGCACTGCCTGCTTCACGCAAACAGTTTGCAGAATGGCTCTTAGAGAAGGGACAAACCAGTGTGGTGTTGGCTCGTATGGATTGGTAACCAGAAATGCAGGAATCTCTTTAATTTTGAATGCTGCAAGCTTTAAGGCCTTGAATAAAAAAAAAAGGGGGGGGGGGGGGGGGTTTGTTGGTTACTTTAGAGACCTAAAGGACGAGTTCCGCACGTGAAACAGCTTAGATTTCTTGAGCTTCAGAGTATTTAATGTTTGATATAATAGCAAGGTGGTTTTTGAATGGTAGGAACCTTCTTCTAGTCGGTGCATAAGAGTGACACAGAGGCAACATAAAAATCATTACTGTAAAAAATATTTCTCTTTTTTTTTGTCAGCTTGATTTGGGCATTTGGCCGAAGCTACAGACCTTTTCACCCTTCGTTGCGTGGGCGCTGCCATCTTGGAATCACGCGACGCGACCATAGTAAGGAGGCTACAACTCGTCGCTCCACTTTCCCCTCTGCACCATGGCAAATGCGTTATTTTATTTTCGTCGCGCTTCTTGCCCTATTTTGTAAAGTGTCGCCCAATGCTTTACGCGAGGGTTTAAAGGCCAACTACCGAATTTACACAAATGTAGGTTGACCCTTTTTTCGATTTTTGAAAGTCTGAAGTGGGGGGGTCGACTTATAATCAAACCAAAGCATTCACCGCCGGCAAAAACGAAAGAATCGCGATATCATGGACACCTCGGCCATGTTCCAAAATTTACTCGATCTTACTCCAGGGTAAGAGTTTTGTACCCTTGGCGTTTTAAAACCTATTCGCGTCCAGAGTTTTTCAATCTGTGCTGTCACGTGATACGACCTGCCGGAGTAACTCGGATCCATTTGGGTAAGATTTGGAACACAGCCCTTGGCTTGTTACGAGTTCAGCCGGCTGTACCCCTAGGGTTACACTGTTTTGTGCGCTCATTTTACAAATTAATTATTTTTTTATTTGCGCAAACGAGTATTATTAGTAGCGATTCGTAAATTAACCCGAATACACGGCGGCGAACAGAGGACGGAGCGCCCGACTCCCGGGGGGTGACGGCACTTCTCGTAAGAGCCACTCCAGAGGCCGCTGGAACAGCCTGAACAGCCTCACGGCTCGCTCGGCTCGCTCACCCCGCGGCTTCTCTTCACAGTTTCTCGCACGACTCACGGTCGCACATCATTTGATCAAGTACGAGATCATGCTGGTGCGCTAACTATGTTCATTTGTATTGAAACGCGTGATCCAGGCACTTTAGGTTTTCGGTGCTTGTTTATGGCCATTCTTCACTCAGAAGCAACCAATAACTGTGCTGTTGGACGCAAGTTCAACCCGTCGGAGCGGGTGATGCTCCAGAGGAGCCTTCAGTGGCGCACTGTGCCGGCAAACGAAGAGGCTTCCGCAGGCCAAAGTCTGGATAAGTGGGGGTGCCTTCCGGAGTTGGAGGTCAGGCTAGCAACGGTAGGCCGCAAACGTGCGCAATCAGTCCCTACCCGTGACGTCCGACGCGATCGCCGAGCGAGCGCGGAAGATGCGGTTGATCCTGTCATTTGCGAAGAGCGAGATTTCATTGGACGACGCCGACGACGTGCTTCGAGAATATAGCAGTGATGGCGACGGGACTGACATCACCAGTGCAGACTAGCAGTAGTCCAGTCGCGGACGAAGTGAGAACAACAGTAAGCAGTTTCAGTTGTCCCGCCTCCAGCGTGAACTTCCTAGTTTCGATAACGCCTAGCCATCTCATGCACCTCGCACGTGCATGCACAGCCAAAGCACGCCAGAAGGCATCGATCGCGTGTTGGAGGCTCGGCTTTGGAAACGGATACTTTGCCGTTCGATCGCGTGTTGGAGGCTCGGCTTTCGAAACAGTTACTTTGCCGTTCTCACGTGTTTGCAATAAAATGCAAATCATAAAAAAAAAAATTTTTTTTTGCGTATGTGCGATGTGGGGGGGTCGATTTTTACAATCGAGTCGACCTACAATCGTGTAAATACGGTACTTATGACAACTCGAGTTTGCTCAGTTATAGTGATGAAACATTTGCAATAAAAAGCACAAGGAATATTTATGATCACACATTTAGTATCTTAATTAAGGCAGCAAAAATAATTGGCGCATGAAGCCACTATAAGTGTTGCCTGAAAGCATTGTTCTTTGCCTTCACAGCAAATAAAAAACGGTTTCTTTTGATTATGTAGGAGAAATCATGGAGAAGATTTGTAAAGAATGTTTAAATTGCATTTTATCTGATGCTAGGAACAAAGGTAATATCAACATCAGGCAATTTGTTTGTTCACGATATTACAATAAAATAGGTTAGACATTTTTCATTGTTTTTACGATAGAAACCTTTGCTTGACGGGTTTATTTATGAACTTAGAGAAACCACATATATATTGGGCTTGGTCCCTTATGTCTTCATTCAAGTGCTTTAGCGAGTTTCTTAAGATATCTAATCCTTTATTTCAACACAAAGGTTGGAGCTCCTTGGGTTAAAGAGCAACTCTGGTCAATTCCAAGAAATTTTAGTTAAGGGTTGATTATATATCCCGAGGTAGTAATAACGGTTCTACATAACCTCTTTAAATAAAAGTACAATATCCTTTTGCGTTATCTTTATTTAAAGCTTACCAAAACCGAAACCAAACCTTGCCAGCGGCAGGCAACATTGCTCCCGTATCATTATCTCCATGATCTAACAGCTCCAATCACGTGGTACAAATCACGACGTCACGTACCAGGCGGCGGGGTGCAGCTCGGTGCAAGGACGAAAGTGTTGTCCGCTACGATCAGTAGTCTGCTACACCCGACGACGCCTGCACTACGTGGCCACAGCCTGTGTTCTAGCGCAAAAAAAGGAGTTTTCCCATGGGCTTGTTTTGAAAACATTAGTAGTAAGTGAAGTTCTGTAAAGCCCACGTAAATATGTCAACGGGTTTGCAGAAGTGTGCCGTGCTCAACGTCGCAAACTGGCTCTTGCACGCGACGGGCGCTATTGGAAGTGACACATGCTTGCATAGAAGAACACGAATGCATGCAAGTTATGCTAATCTTGCAGCCAACGATAAGTGCGCTGCTAGCGCCGCCTTTAGGCTTCGCTTGAAAAAGTGCAAAACATGCAAACGAATCCCCCTGAGCGTCCCAAGTACAACAAAGATGGTGCAAGGCAGGCTGCGTCTACACGGTGGTATTGACTGCGCTGCTGGCTATGCCGCACCTCACCGGCTAGGATTAGCAGATTTTGGTAATTTCGAGCACTTCAAAATTTGTTTGCCAGTTTCATCCACTTTTAGGCGGAAGTAGATTGAAATATCTGGTGTGTGGTCTATTAATGCGGTACTCAAGAGAACTGAATTGTTTTCTTCGTTATGAAATTGAACTGGAGTTGCCCTTTAAGGGGGAACACTAGTCTTTAAAGTTTAATTTGGATTTTTTTAGCAAATTCAATAAAACCTCAAATATCTGGTTATTTCGACAATCAGTAAATTAGTCTTTCAGATAACTAAAACTCTCCTGCCTTTGTTTGCAGGAATAAAAAAAAAATTCCCAAGAAAAAATTGTTTAACACTTGGCAAGATAATACAAAGTATAATGAATACGATGTTGGAAGTACTTCCGAGAGTGAACCATTAATAGTGTTCGGACAACACATCGAAGTTCAGTGTTAAATGCGTGGCCGTCAACTAATAAACCAACTAATTCTTTAAACTTTAAAAAATTTCTCAAGACTTAAATTAAAAAATTTGCTCTCAACATTGTTAGAATCACATATTTTTCTCCATGTTGCAAAACACCGTGCATTTCTATCTGCTTTAAATGGTTAGATATCCCTACCCCAAATTCACAAGGAGTCTGAAATTTGTATTTTGAGAAAACATTATATATATATGTTGGAAACTTAGAATCAACTTCAATGCAAATTTAACCCACATAGATATTATAAATTGATATTATGGCACAAATATTGATCTGGAAGATTAAAAACATGGTCAATCATAAAAAAAGAAAAATACCTGGAGATTTCAAAATTCGTTTTCACAAAAGCGCATTTTTAGGGAAAAGACCTATGTCTTTTCTTAAAAAACTGTTCAAAACAGCTTGAGAGTCTCCGAGTCTGCGATATGTGATACCAAAAAGAAGAAAAGAAGTGCAGTGTTGCTGATGCCGGGTAAGGATCTACTTTCAGTGGCTGGCAACGCCCAAAATGTACAAAGCTCATACGATTCTGTTCAAATGAATAAAGATCTGTCTACACAGATTCGTAAAGTGATGTCTGGTATTTGACTTCAACCATACTTGCCGGAAGTCACCTCTCTGGCGCCCTTTAATTTAATTCGGAAGATTTTATAGAAGAAAAATGTCAGCTTTCACTGGTTGGGCCTGTCACTAATCTTATATCCCATGTACAGTCATGTCTCGTTAATATGGACCCCATTATAATGGATACCTCGCTATATGGACGCCATCTTCAGGGACAAACTGGGAAAATACATGCATTTTTGTCTCGTAAATATGGACAACTCACATATTGCAAGATTTTTTTGAGGAACGGAGGTATCCATATCAATGAGACATCACTGTATGTTGCAACAAAATGTCTGCATAATAAATAGTTTATTTACCAAGGTCAATATTCTGAAATTCTGTTAATGAGTACTTTGGCAGGGCCAATAAATTAATTTCCTACTTGGCCTAGAATGGACTCTCAAAAATTTGTTTAGCACAAATTTTCTTCAAGAAAACGAGCCAATACATATCACTTTTTGTTTAGATTTCCTGCATTATTACAGAACATTTTTCCAGTCTGCAAAGTTGACAAAAAGTTAGTGTCTGTGAAAACCAAACAGTAAGCAGTAAACTTACGAGTTTATCTGTTCTTTGCGATTCAGTACACTGTTATAATCAGGTTTTCGACCTGTTTTTTCACTATGCATCATGGGTCTTCGTCAGTTAACTTTCTTTTGAAACTGGTGTCATCGGGTACAGCTGTAGACGATGGCAATATTCTCAGTGCGTCAGTTCAGTCGTTTCCGACTGAACCTGGCCAAAATAGACTATCAACATGACCAAATGCATCATAAGATTTCTTAAAAAGAAAAAAGTGTGATTTAGCCTTGAAATTACTTTGTGGTTCTCAAAGTGCCAAAGTACCAGTTTCATAGGTTGTATTCTACAAGGGACACATTTGTGTCACAAAATTGAGCAAAAACGACAAAAACACTAATGCAGCTGCATGCATGCTGAAACCGAAACCAACCAAATTGAAGTCACCGAATGGCGACAACAGCGTCAGTGCCCCCTAGCCACTGGTCAGTAAACTACTGAGATGAAAAGGTCTATAGAGTTTGGGGTTGGTTCCAAAGTTTCCTTTCATGTTAAACAAATTGTGTTTGTGTTTCAGGTACTTTATCTGATCCTTATTCACAGTCTTCCGGAGTACGCCACGGAAACGATCTGTCTACTTTTATTTTTATTTCTTTTAAGTGATGCTTCACTTTGTGTTAAGATCTTCTAAATATTGCTATTTGCTGATGACATAAAGCTGCTTCGTTGTATTTGCTCCATTTCTGACGGCGTGCTTCTTCAGGAGACTCTTTGCAATGTTTAGGTGGTGTTCACATAACTCCCTTGTTCTGAACAAGCTGAAAAGGAAGGCGTCACTGAGCAGAAAGCATGACCCATCCGTATTTACACCTTAGACCAGGGCACGCAATCATTTGAGCAAAGTGCATTTCAACTCAGCAGCTACACCATAAAATATATTTAATAAAATCAGACACACAAAAACGAGGAGCAAAATACCTGGGATTTCAGTGAATCTGCGCCCTGCATATTCATCTTGTTCCACAGACTCATTCAAAACTCGCCGAAGAAAATATGGAAGATAGGACGTCGGAAGGACATGTCGACGTGGCAGACGTTCAAACGGAGATCCAAGACAGTCGCCAATTAAAGCGCCGACCATGCATCCTTGATATTTCGCTCGCATGCCGATCGATGTATTGGTTCTAGAATGACAAACGACAACAATGCTCTCTTTTTAACAAGCAAAGCTTCTGGAGGTCAAGTCATATTTCGTAAACAACAAACACCTGTTGTGGCGGTGCGGCCAATAACCATGTAACGTAACTAGAATTTTTTTTTGGGGGGGGGGGGGTTGAGGTGGCTTGGATGTCTATGACATGGGGTGCAGAGGAAGGTAGGATGTCAAAATGCAGGTGTATAATATAGGATTGGCCTGGGTTTTTCGGGAACGGGGTCTGAAATACTGTGCCTTCCTACTGGCTATGCCACTGCCGACAGCCATAGTGGTGGCCCTGTTTCTACATTCATGACCCAGTCACAATGCTGGTGTCCACTCTGGCCATTGCTCCCAGGTTGCACCTGGGTCACCAATGTAGATACTGATGTGGTTCTACCAAAATAACTGATTTCCTAACTGAGACAGCCATATCTTGGACGCTAAATGCGGACAATATGCGCACTCGGGTTATCAATGGAGAGACAACCTGGAAGCAGGGGCCAGGACGACTGCAAATATTGTCTGCACCTACCATTTTAAATTGGACATGTACCCATTAGTAAATTCAAGTTATTTTTAGTAGAACTACATTGGTAGATACACTATGTTCAAATTTGAACATGCCAATTACAGGATACAAAACACTCCCATACAACTGAAATTCCCTATCATGTGCCCCACACCTTAGTCACAGAAGGTAGCATTTGGCACATCTCGTCAAAAAGTTCCATTTTGCTGATAACCAACATTTTAATGGAAATAGACTTGCCCAGAGCCCTTCAGCCTTTAACCGGTTTCTCCCCGTAAATAAGATTAAAATATGTTTATTATTCTAATTAATCTAAAAAAATAAACTTCAGTATTTTCATTTTTGCATAGTTCTGCCACTCAACCAAACATGCCAATACTTTCTAGTCAAAAATGGACAGCGGAAGTGGTCACCAATTGTAATGGAGATAAATGGCCGTGTCAATTGTGTTCATATCTGATTTGGGAGCAAAGCATTCCGAATTGAAATCAGGCCTATGAATACCTTTAATTAAAAACAGAGAGTAAACATACGGAGGGACAGCTGTTCTGTCCGTCCCTATGTTTATTCTTTGTTTTCATTTAACTTCACCAATGCGCTCACGTCAAACTAAGAATATACCTTTCTTTCCCTTTTTCTAAATCTTGTGTATTTGATTGGATAGTTGCCTTTGTAAGTATCCTAATATACAGCCGAAGTGCCGACTTCGTTCAAGCACGCACTATTAACATTTCCCAAACTTGGGAATTCTGCAAACTATACGTTAAGCACCCGATCTGACCGGACAAGCGCCCATGTCTAGTCTAACCCAGTTTCAGTAAAAGTGGGGTGGGCATTTTCCCAGTATTTTACAGTAATTATTTACAGTTCGTCAATATTAATAATAATTCCCCTTTCACCTCTGTGGATTCTGGTGTACTGCAAGGTTCAGCAATGGGCTCATTATTGTTTCCAATTCATATTAACGATTTAGTAGACAACATTTTATCTCTAACCTGTATGTTCGCTGATGACTATGTTCTGTACCGTAATATAACTGACCAATTTGATACTTTATAACCAGGGTTGTAAAGTACCTAGGTACAAGTAACTGTAAATCGGGATCTAGGTACTTTTGTTGTACCTGAGGTACAAACCTAGGTACTTTCATTTCTCAGTATCTGTATCTGTATCTTAGGTACATTTTCCAGTAACTTGTAACTAAGTGAAGTTACTTTTTACAGGTACTTTTCTATTCACTTCGTCAAAATCATAGAAATACAATATAACATGTAACTGAAAATAAATTATAATTACAGTCGTAAAGCAAGTTAACATCACATAGTTTTTCCATGCAATAAATCGAACTGAAATTTTGCACTTTACAAAACTGAAAATGTTTGTGAAGAAAAAAAAACTGGGAGGACGATTAATCTTCGCCTTTAAAGGCCCGTTCACACTCTGCAACCGAGTACGACCGAGAGAGACCAGACCGGTTTTTAAGCCTCTTGCGATCTCTTAGGACCAGCTCCGCTGCCGCGCATTCGGTTCTAAGAGGTCGCAAGAGGCTTAAAAACCGGTCTGGTCTCTCTCGGTCGTAATCGGTTGCAAGAGTGTGAACGGGCCTTAAGAGTTGAACGCGATAGAGTTATCGGGCCCCGTTCGCATGGCCTTCTCAATCGCTTCTCATGCTCTTGAGTCACACAACGACCTAGTTCTTATGATACAACACTCCCGGTGCGATCGAGGAGCTTTTGCCAGTGCTTTGGTGCCAATTTACCCCGCAAGGTATATTTATGTGCTTGCTCGGCACGCGCAGACAACACTCGATGCCATAATGCCTTTACCCTGACACAGACAGACATCGAGGCACTCCAATGACGGCAGGATCGCAGTGCCATTCCCAAGCCCTGCGTTGCCTAGTCGGTAGCATGTCTGGCTCGCAACCGAAGGGTCGTGGGTGCGATCCTGCGTAAATTCTTCATATTTTTCTTTAAGGCAAATGAATTAGTTTATGAAGTGGGATCATTTGGAACATGCGGCGACCATTAATTCGTGTGTCTTTAACCACCTTCATTACACGCGTGACGTCACATTTCACATGAGCGTTGTGGGTTGTTTGAAATTCCCGCGCGAAGTCAAGTGGCTGTGACGTCACAACCCTATCGACCATTAGAATGGCAATCTGGGCTAGTTGGTTCATGATAGCTTTTAGGGCGCCGAAAATACACAAGGACAAGATACAAGAAAGGAGACGTGAACAAGGCGCACTCGCAACTAGCGTTTATGAAAAAAACACTCTCTTATATACTCATGGCAAACAACACAGTCATACTACTACACAGTCATACTACGTCCGGTGTAGCCCCCTTCGTAGAAAAGTGTGCTCTTTTGCCGATAGTGACACAGACGTGTCACTAATGCAGTCCTTGCCTTTTTTCTTTTATTTCGAAGGCCTCGTGCGGCTCCCTCGATATCCGATCGGCATATCTGGCCAAAAACCTTGTGTCACTAAATGACGGTGTGCAGGAGCAACGGGTGCAGTGCGTGGCGAGGTGTCCCGACGGGGTAGCCCGTGTAGCCGCAGCATGTTTGCGGGCGCGATCATTAAAGCATCTGCCCGTTTGGCCAATGTACGATGATCCGCATGACATGGGGATTTCGTATATGACGCCCGTGGCACATTCCGTGCACCTGTTGCGGTGCTTCGTATTGCAAGGATCTGCGGACTCACGGGGATTGTTGATTCTGCGACACAGTCTCGATAGTTTGTTTGGTGCGGAGAACACAATAGGCACATCGTACCTATCAGCAACCTTTTTAAGATTATGGGTTAGTGAGTGTACATAGGGGATTACCACCGGCCTCACTGCTGCTCTTTCACGGGGCTGCCTCCGTGTACCTTTAAACTTTATTATTAGGGTGTCCGCTACATCCACCAGAACTGTCTGCGGGTAGCCCGCTTTTTGCAACCTCGCAGCCTGTCTCGTGAAGCTCGCTTGAGCGGTGTGTGCACATGATCTTCTTAGTGACGCCTCGAGACAACTAGATGCAATTCCTCTTTTTACAAGTTTCGAATGGGCCGAGCTGAACGGAAGTATGCCCTTCTTAGAGCGTGGCTCATATGTCCAGCATATGTGAATTTCTTCAAGACTTAGCCTAAGGTCCAAGAACTGTATATGCCCGTTCACTGGCTCTTCATGCGTGAACGACAACCCATCCCCGCATGACCCAAATATGTCAAGCACTTCTTCAACCCCGCAGCTCGGTGCGTCAGCGGGTCTGCCGAGGACAAGAAAGTCGTCCACATATCTGAAGATGCGACACCGGTTCGCGTCGCCCAACCTCTCGGCTATCTTTCTTCTGCACACACTTAAAAAAATATTGGACAGTATCGGCGCAACAGAAGACCCGATGCATATTCCCCTTTTCTGCATATACATCTCCCCCTCAAAAGGGACAAACATGCTCTCTAGGTAAAATGCCAAAAGTTCCAAAAAATGATCAACGGAAATGCCACAAGAGGCTTGGAACAGTAGAACACCGTTTCGTTCAATGCACTCTCTGACAGACTCGAACAGGGGCTTGTGCGAACCGGTGTCGCATCTTCAGATAGATAAATTTAGCGTTAAAAGAGAATCGAAACATCCGAACTTCTCGAACTTTATGCAGAAAGAAATTCGAAATCTTCAAATTGTTCGAACTTCATGTGTATAAAAGTTTGAAGCGTTGGAAGTTTTCGAATTTTATTTCCAAAGAATTTCGAAATCTTTGAATTTATCGAACCTGAAGTAAAAAAATATTCGAAATATTCGAACCCGAAATTTTAGAAACCGTGAGAGCTTCGAACTTTTCGAATTCGGAACTCCACTGTAATCGAAAGTTGCGAATTTTTCTAATTCGAATCTCGGTCGGTACGAAAATATCGAAATTTTTCGAAATCGAACCTCAGTTCGCTTTGCAAATATCGAAACCTTTCGAAATCGAACTTAGGGTGGTTCGCGACATCCCTAGTCCCAGCGACAAGCGCCCCAGCATGACAAGTGCCCCAGCATCGCAGTCCCTGTCACTTTGCCTCTCCAGTGCCGGCTCCAGCTCTTGCCTCCGCAAAACAAACCAACACACACACACTGACAGCCGTCTATTTTTTTTATATTTGCTTTTTGTTTTCTGATGAAGTATTGCTTAGCGGCAAGAAAAAAATTGGTCGGAGCATAGGTTTACATGCTGCACAAATTCCCTTAGAACTACGGCCACAGCTGAAGAAACGACCACGGGCCTCTGCTGCATGACGATGTCGGGTGCACAAGAAGAGAATGCCCCTGGCTCGGAGTCCAGTAGAGGCAAATGTGCAGCCCCCGTGCCGCCATCTCCGAGGTGCATACGCAAAGTTGCGTGCGATTGGTTTTAACGCTTCGCCGAGTTGCGCGAGAGAGTCGCGTGAACTGCCTGTGCCGCAGAGCACGCGAGCTTGGCCGCTGTCCAGAGCGATGAGGGAAGATCGCGGAATCACGGCTGCCGGAGCAATGTTTATTACCGTTTTAATCAGACAAGAGTGCGTCGCATTGAAGCGAGCAAACCAGCAGATAAGAAAGGTGCGTGCGCACTGTACGTATCTCGGCAACAGACGGCGCGCCGTCAGGGGGCGAATGTCCTTGGGTAGCACGGTGATGCAATTCGGTCAGCGCAGGTGTTATCTGTGTGACGTCACTTCCGTGACCAAGTTTTCGTGACATTGACATTGCCCTCCCAACTTTGCACCACCCCCTCCAAAGCGCAGAGAAAAACTTGGTTCTACATCGAGAAAGCTTTTTAGCCTCTTGCCATAGTAAGGTACACTCCCGTTTCACCTTATGACAGACTACAGCGGACGCTACGAGCCATTACAGCCAATCCAGCACTGCGAATGTTTCATCTGACTGTACAACCTGAACATCGCTGCGCTTCTTTCGAAGTAACGGTGATGAGTTGAGCGTGTTGGTACACACTTGGAAAAAAGCCTAAACATAGAGAGAAAACAGGAGAGATGAGACAAGATGGCTGACTACCAACGAGTTTTAGTGAAAACTACAGTTTTAGTGAAAACTACTTCCCCCTTACGCTGCGGCGTCCTCCAGCAAAAACATTTTTAACATTTTTTTTTTTTTTTTTTTTGGGGGGGGGGGGGGGGGGGGGATTTTATTTTGGACTACGCCGTCAAGGATCGGGCACATCGAAGATTGTGTCAGTGCACCGTCTATTTGTCTAAACCATTCAGAGAATGATTTCTCCGCTGTGGCCCGCCCAACATATGGGCAGCATGAGCTGGAATGGGATAATGTGGATGAAATATTTTTCTCTTCTAAAAAAAGTTTCGGTGTACTTTTATTTTTATGTTAAAAATGTTTTTGCTGGAGGATGCGACAACATAAGGAAGAAATTTCCACTAAAACTCGTTGGTAGTCAATTGTCTGGTCTCATCTCTCCAGTTTTCTCTCTATCTTTCAAAGGCCACGCAACACTCGCACTACATTGGATTGACTCTTGTCGCTCATAGCGTTTGCTGCGGTCCATCATAAGGGGAATAGTGAAGTAAACGCCCCCGCGCCGACACGGCAGACGCCAAGTTCTGCTTCACACAGACGCAAAATTTATTTATTTGTTTCGTTGTGACTGACGTTTTCACATCACTCATTTGTTCAGTCAACGCTGCAGTGCCGACGTCACCGTCACAAATGTTTGACTTCGCACCACCACCCGAAAATATGTGTGCGGCTCACATTTTATTACGCCGAAACGTTTTCCAACAAACCGGTGACTGCCATATAAAATTACGGTTTCATTTCGGGTTCAACATAGCATGTTAGATTTCGGTTAGGGTTTCGTTCCGGTTCGGTCAAAAATAACGTTTTTTTTTTCCGGTTTTCGGTTCGCGTTCGGTTCGACACCCTCGATTGGTCACTGGATTGTTGGATCAACGTTCCGCAACATTCACATCTGATGCAGAGCGTCTGGTTTGGTCGGGTTTTCATGTTGTTTTTTTTTGTCGCCCGATATTCTGGAACGTCGGCGACAAAAAGACAGAAAGTGATCAATGCACGCCTCAATGCCTAGGCACTCCAGGGCATTGAGGTGCTCTTGTAACAGGAGTGCCCGAGAGCTTTCCGTGCAAATTGCACACTACAGAACTTCTTCAATAGGAGCTACTCACTTGTCCTTAGGTTGAGTACCCTTGGATGTTGAAGCCATGTCTTTGCCTTGATGTGGTACACCTCTCCTGAAATGAGTTAATATCTTAGTATGTGGGACACAGAAATTCGTTAAGAAAACTAGTTTGCACTTATTGCTAATGCAATCACAATCTGTTGCTGCCCTGTCATTGATGCAGCAAGACATGCTTCGCGCTGGCATCATACAGGTCTGCCATGGCCCCGACCTTAGCCCTGTTTTTGGTTCCCAAGTCCAGCTCAGAATCCCGCTTTATCCTCGACTGCTCATGACGGACTGCGGCGCTTTCTGCTCCCAAGTTCTCACCCTGGTCGTTCCCTCAGGCTCTCTGTGTGAAACCCTTGCCAGAGCATGCGTACCTTGCAAAGCTAGACTTGAGCGAGGCCTTCATTTCGCTACACCCGCAAACAAGACAAATGACGAATCTGCCTCAGTAAGCAATATTACCATTCCACGCAGCTGCTCTTTGGCATTCATCCTGCCCTTTTCAACATGCAACTGCTCACTACACTCACGAGGCTTGTGACTGAAACCACTGGACCCGGGCACACAATGGCAATTCTCTCTCTGCACACCCGGATCCGGAGGTCCTTGCCTCGCATGCGACTTGCATTGTTGCGCATTCTTCCACATTAACGAAAAAGGCACCAGTCTCCATGCCCATACAACATCTGGACATTTTGGAGTTCTGCACAGACAGGCGTGCAATAGTCACGCACACACCTGCCCGTCTTGCGGTCATCCCTCATTCCCTTGCTTCCCTCGATGGTCCACAACCTGCTCGCCATCTCTAGAGTTGCAGGTCACCTCGCCTTCTATATCTCACTATATGGATCTCGATACTTTCACCTCTTTTTGACGCCCTTAATCTAGAAGATTCTGTAGATGTCCGCTGGCTTTGTTTCATTCAGACCGTCTAGGCCACGCTCCCACACACCCAACTCCTCTGCCTCCCTTCCCTTTTCCGTCTGGGCAGATGCTTCATCGATTGGCTTTGGCATCATAACTCAGCACGCCATGAAAGCCCTCGTTGCACCATCACCCATCTACTAGAAAGCTCTGGCGTACTTTGGAGTGCCATAGAGTCGCCGCACAAGACCCTGCTGCACAACAACCAGGGCCTCTCTATGGCGCTCCGCTATGGCCACAGAACGAGATTTGACTGGAAGATATTGAATGCTATTTTTTATGTGTAAAAAAGGAGGCAATCAATAAAGTGGACTCCGACACACTCCAACGCTGCTGACCTGCCATCGTGCCTTTCACACATGTAAATTGTTGAATGGTGGCAGGCGGGTATAGAGCACTATATAGCTCCTACGGAGCAGAGTAGTGCAATCCTTTGATCCGCGTGTTTCACCGACAACATAGCCGACAGAGCAGCACGGTGCGAGTCACGTTGTACTCAAGGTTCCAGGAGGCGGCCCACCCTATGGGAGAATACATGGAGATTGACTCAACACAGCTGATTAAAAAATAAACGCCAAGTTCACACTTTTCGAAACTAGTCTGTCGTGAAGTTGGTAAAGCACTAAACACTTGATCAAAGTTTTAATAATATTGGATGCGTGTGCAAATTTTGCGAAGGCAATTTTCAAAGCAATGGCGTTTGAAGCAGACGACTGCTTTACCTAGCGGAGATGGACTTTATGGATTGGCCGGAGCGGGTCACGTGAACAATGTGACGTCGCCGTGTCGTCTGCTGCATAATGCTGCTCAGGCAATTTAAAAAAAGAAAAAAATGAAGTTATTTCATGGCGCACAACTTAGCGCAAATTATTGTAAACTATTCCCTTATTATTAGGGCGACCAGACGTCCCGTTTTGGCCGGGACAGTCCCGTTTTTGAGATCCGTTCCTGCCGTCCTGTCTTTTTGTCCCAATAAAGAATCATGTCCCGTTTTCAAGACATGATTCTTTTTTTTTTTTTTTGTCTATATAACTGAGCAGACTTTTACAACCGAGTCTTGTAGGATAAAGTCCTGCTTAGGAAACTTCAGTCGTCGGAAAAATACTCCCACACCAACGAAGGACGCGAAGCAGTGTGACTGTTCCCTAGACTTTAGGGCTTAGCGCAATATGGTAACGTTTTGAAATGAGAGCAGTTATTTCATTAAAATTTTCCCCCAATCTCAATCTTTAGCCCCCACCCTCCGCTGGGATGTCCCGTTGTCTACCTTGAGGAATATGGTCACCCTACTTATTATGTCAAAAACAGGTCGTTCCGTACATCCCCAAAATAATCAGGAAGCAGCGATTTTCTCACGTTCCCCATGTATTTGTGGCCGGAGTTGGAACCCCTGGGCGTTCGCCGCTAGTCGCCGAGACGGCGTTTTAGATTGGGCTACTCTGCTCCGAAGGAGCTATATAGTGCTTTAGGCGGGTAGGGTTGCGACGTCGCCAGTCCAAGCTCGAACATTGCTCAAGAGCAGCAGCTACTGCACGCCGGCACACTGTCAGTGTCTGCCCGTGGTTCTGGAACCGTGCCGAATAATCGTCTGAGAGGGAACTCTCGGCTTTGGTTCTGTACAAATGCCACACTGCACTGTAACAGTGGTCCTGTGAATAATCTCCAGGATGTGGTCACAGATACTGCCAAAGTTCGCAGCTACACGTGGCGGCATTTGGGGCTGGTGCCTGATCAAGGACTGTTGTAAGCCATGAATTAAAGGGGTACTACAACAAAACTAATGCCTATTTTATTGTCTAAATGTCAACCATGTTCCAGCCACATCACAAAGAAGCCAATCTTTTGTACCCCTTTATTTTAACAGACTGCACCTTGTGGACGTTCCCAAAGCTACTTCGAATGTCGTTACGCCCCCCTTCCTATAAAATCATCACCGCTCCAACGGAAGGAGGGCACTGAGCTTCAAACGCACATAAGCGGAGGCAAGTCCCTTTTTCACCTCCGCTGGCATTGCTGAGCCAGCAATGGGGCATTTCGAACGGCTAGGTTGTAATGCGTTGATGTTGGCCCAAGTGGTGAAGCTCACATCCACGCCAGCCTTCCTGTAGCCTTGCCCATAAGGCAAACACGACGTCACAAGCTTGCTGGAGGCTTCGAATCTCCCGAAAGGCATAACACTCTCCGATGGCTGCTCTTGGAGCGCTCTCTCGAATCGGTCGTTTGTAATGAAAAATATTGCTATCTGTTCAAAATATAATGTGCGACTGTCATTAGCAGATTTCATTGATCATAATTATAATACAATTAAATGCAAAGGGGCAAGCGAGCTGGACAATAATGATGGAAATAATCCCTGGAGAAGGGGAACAAGAGGAACAAGGGACAAACATAAATGTTCAAACACAGCTAGGTGACTGGTGAGTGACCGAAAAAAATCCGCCTGGTCCGGGTATCGAACCCGGGACCTCTCCATTACAAGTGGAGCGCTCTACCAACTGAGCTAACCAGGGGTTAGACGTCAGTAGAGCAAACGGGTTTTATCAGCTGCCACCAGTCTAACACCAACAAGGGTGAAGCTTGCAATTTAATGTTATAATTATAATGCAATTAAATGCAAAGGGGCAAGCGAGCTAACCCCTGGTTAGCTCAGTTGGTAGAGCGCTTTACTTGTAATGGAGAGGTCCCGGGTTCGATACCCGGACCAGGCGGATTTTTTCGGTCGCTCACCAGTCACCTAGCTGTGTTTGGAGATTTATGTTTGTCCCTTGTCCCTCTTGTTCCCCTTCTCCAGGGATTATTTCCATCATTATTGTCCAGCTCGCTTGCCCCTTTGCATTTAATTGCATTATAATTATAACATTAAATTGCAAGCTTCACCCTTGTTGGTGTTAGACTGGTGGCAGCTGATAAAACCCGTTTGCTCTACTGACGTCTAACCCCTGGTTAGCTCAGTTGGTAGAGCGCTCCACTTGTAATGGAGAGGTCCCGGGTTCGATACCCGAACCAGGCGGATTTTTTCGGTCGCTCATCAGTCACCTAGCTGTGTTTGGAGATTTATGTTTGTCCCTTGTCCCTCTTGTTCCCCTTCTCCAGGGATTATTTCCATCATTATTGTCCAGCTCGCTTGCCCCTTTGCATTTAATTGCATTATAATTATAACATTAAATTGCAAGCTTCACACTTGTTGGTGTTAGACTGGTGGCAGCTGATAAAACCCGTTCGCTCTACTGACGTCTAACCCCTGGTTAGCTCAGTTGGTAGAGCGCTCCACTTGTAATGGAGAGGTCCCGGGTTCGATACCCGGACCAGGCGGATTTTTTCGGTCGCTCACCAGTCACCTAGCTGTGTTTGGAGATTTATGTTTGTCCCTTGTCCCTCTTGTTCCCCTTCTCCAGGGATTATTTCCATCATCATTGATCATGTTTAACTTATTTCTAAATGCAAAAAGGTATATTTTAATTTTCATTTCAGCACCCCTTTAAATATTTAAAGATTCATTATTTTAAATGTACCTGGATGGTTGTATTTGTTAGCATAAAGAGACATATTTGTGAGATCTATTTTTGCGTGATATTACTATTCAAGTCGCGAAAAATGCATCATTGCAATAATTAACCCTTTCAAACATTGCTTGCCATTTATTGCGGAAAAAATGTTTACGCAAATTTTCTTTACAACTGTGGTTGCCAAACATAGAGTACAGAATCCCACTAAAATTGTTCAAATAACTCAATATGAAATATATTCCCCCAAAAAATTAGGGTTTTAAATGTACACATTTCCGTAGATAGTATTTGAAAAAGTTAAGTCATTTACAATATTATGTAGATATTTATTTTAAAAAAACTTTCAGCCTTTCGACTTTGGTGAAGAAGGAAGAGCAGCAAAGCTGTAGCTTCTGTTCTCAACGGTGGCTTTCCAGTCGACAGCGCAGAGAAAACCAATCTCTGCGAATTGGGGGGGGGGGTTGTGTGTATGTTTATACAGCCTAGAACTTGGTCTGCCTCACAGGGGCGACGAGTCTCCCAGCTGTAGATGAGCAATTTAGCCAGTGCAGTACAACCGCTAGCCTGGGGTCTTTAACGTGCACCACGCAGTAGTGATACACGACCGCACGCCGGTACGATGCTCATCCAGATCGAAATGGGCAGGGGTGGGGCTCGAACCCAGGATCCCTGGGTTCTGCAGCGCGAGCTTTCGCTCCACGCGCGTCGAGCTGGGTGTGCGCTTCAGCCCACTCGGCCACCGATCCCCCAATCTCGGCGACAGCGCAGGGAAAACCAATCTCACACCAGACACTCAGGAAGACAAGCACACGCGCTGAACTTACAACTCTTGTGTATTCGACTACTTCATTTTTCTCTTCAACGTCTGGGCTGACTTTTCAGAACGTGATAGGTAGAAGTAGCACAAAATACAAGGAAAATTCTAAAGACAAGGCTCTTCTTTCGCTAGAGAATCTGAAGCGCTCGACGCAGTGTAACTTTAGGCGATAGCATCCTCGCGGCGATTATGAAACTATTCGCGCTGCTGCGCACTTTGCTTCTCATTCCGTTCCCGCTCTTCTTCCCCCGAAGAAATAGCGAGTTTTAGTAGACCGTGTTTCCCCTCCACTAAGCCCCTCCGCTACCCGGAACTCTACAGCCAAGGCCATCGGCACGCAGGCGCAGTGGCGGTTTCTTCGTAGCAGACGGGAAAACACGGTATACTAAAACTCCCTAATGTTGCCGCGATCTATGACCGACAGCAGCAAGCGGACAACTGGCAAACACAACACTCTGGACAGCTACCGCCATCTATGAGCGACGGCCGCAACTAGAGTTTTGTGTCGACATTTTTTTGCAGGGGACACGGTCCTAGGAAACTAGCCCTTAAGAGCTCCGCTGTACAAAACAAAACACAAGCATTCCGTGTGGCTGTTCCTGTAACAGGAGCACCTGAGAGCTTTCCGTGCAAATTCCACATCACAGAACATATAAAAAGAGAGCTACTAACTTGTCCTTAGGTTTAGTACCCTTGGATGTTGAAGCCATGCCTCCACTTGGATGTTGTACACTCCTCCTGAAATGAATTATTATCTTACTACGTGGGACAAAAAAATTCAGTTAGAAGAATAGTTTAAAACTCCCTAATGTTGCCACGATCTATGAGCGACAGCGGCAAGTGAACAACCGGTAAACACAACACTCTGGACAGCTACCGCCATCTATGAGCGACGGCGGCAACCATAGTTTTGTGTTGACATTTCTTTGCAGGGGACACGGTCCTGGGAAACTAGCCCTTAACAGCTCCGCTGTACAAAACAAAACACAAGAATTCCGTGTGGCTGTTCCTGTAACAGGAGCACCTGAGAGCTTTCCATGCAAATTCCACATCACAGAACATAAAAAGAGAGCTACTAACTTGTCCTTAGGTTTAGTACCCTTGGATGTTGAAGCCATGCTTGGATGTTGTACACTCCTCCTGAAATGAATTATTATATTACTACATGGGACAAAAAAATTCAGTTAGAATAGTTTGCACTTATTGTGAATGCAATGACAACTCGTTGCAGCTGAATACTGCCAGAGGAACCCAAAAGAAACGCAATATCATTTCAACGTATCTCAAATAGAAAACATAGTTATTCTGAATATCGAGTTGTCTGTGAATAAAACTATATTGCAAGGGCTCATCTTCCACCATTGAATGGGATTAAAACAACTTTATTCCAAGCCAATCACACAAACGAAGTACAGGTATACAAACTACTTTTGTTAGAAGATAAAACAGGAGCAAAACCTGAACACACATACCTACATGATCTTGTTGCTTACTGATCTTTCAAATCCTACTGACTAAAGAAGAAACCGTGCTTATTTTATTTAAGGGGGCACACCCCCTAGGGGGGTCAACTTTTGAACCCTTGTCTTAAAATTAATGAAATTTACAGGGTAGGCTGGTGGTCATGCTAGAGGGTGTATAGCAAAATTTCAGGTATGTCGGTTAAACGAGAAGGAAATAAGAGTAGCTTCTATCAGTAACACGCCTACATTGTTTAGTTAATCTATCGTCAGAAAACTATTGCGATATTCAAGATTTTTATTTGCTAGATATGTAGCCGAATGCCTAGAGGGTGCGGCTATGAAACGTTTTTTCTAAAAAGTAATTCATTTTTATAAATTTTCTCTTCTGCAAAATTGGTAAACTTTTTGGTCTTCTGTGTCTTCGACAAAATGTCAACATTTTTTACAACAGACATCCGTAAAGTGACAAAAAAGTTCCATAGCCGCACTCCTTATTAAATTTCAGTCAGGAAGAGGGGAAAATGAGCTTTTTCTGTTTTGCCATTATCAAACGATAGATTGACTAAAATGGAATCTATACCAAAAAGTGAAACGGAGAAAAATGTGTTCAAAGTGCTCCAAACCCTACCTTTTCTATAGCTTTGGTGGACAGAAAATAATTTATAAAAAATTAACTATACAGTGAAAATTAAAGAAACTTTTTGGGAATTCTCTCTAGATGTTGGTGGATGTAAAGATATCATTTTTCAAAATCAACTTTTTTTGCAGAAATTTTTTTTTCTGGGCAGTGTCTCCCCTTAAGTCAATACCCCTCCTATGTCATCATTGGGTCTGAAAGTAGAAAAATGTCTAACTCCCAATCCCCCCCACCCCTCTGCCCCTCCCCTCACCCCTCCCCCCCTCCAAAAACAAAATTATATATCAAGGCAAACTATTAGCAGGAATTTTCATACAGAATATTACATGCAGATTCCTTATTCCAAGCTTTACAGTCAAGGAAACAATTACTGGCTGTTGCATTTAACCTGTGCAAAAAATTATGCACATTGTATCCTACAAGGAACATGTAAACAGAACAGAAAAACAAAGCAAACTGACAAACAAGTGGTAAATTAGCACAGAATTCCACACAACATTTGAAGAGAACAATTTGCTAACCTCACATAACACCAGTCTCGTGTAAGTAACTGCTAAAAAGTAAATTGGGTATTGGATGTTCTGACAATAACTATTAAAACTAGATACCGTTACCCTCCCAAAAAAGTGCTACAGTTACAGTTCCCCTTGAAAAATAAATGCCATCTCTTTTTGTTATTACTTTTTCATTAACCACATAGACAAGCTGAAATATCAAGGACAAAGTAGAAAAGTGTCCCACTGCAGGTTGGGTGGTGCACGAAAGCACCAAATGTCAAAAACCCACAACGCGAATCCCCCGTGTCAGGTGGCTGGGCCCTCAGCGCAAGGGCGGAGCATTCTGCTTTTAACTAAGAGACAATAAGTGTGTTCGCAAGCTTGTGTAACATGATCATGGCACAATAAACTATGTATGTGATTGCTTTGGAGCGTTTAGAGCTATATAGTCATCTTTCGAGAATAATGAAAAGCAACTGTGCTCTGCGAGTTTGTGCGACCTGTTAGCCAGAAGGGCTCTGTTTTGCTACATTTAACTGCTTGCTTGCCACCTCCTAAACACCAGGCCACAAAAGCCATTGGCACGATAGTCTATGTCGTAAAATTCAGTTATCTCACTAAACCGCACATGGCATTGTCCAAAGCGAAGCGAATACCTTTTTCCGCCGGCTTCTTATATCTGCAGACCAGTCTTTAAATAACAGAAAGAGTAAAAAAAAAAAAATCAACAATTACGTTGAGACAAATCTATAAAGTTGGCATCACTAGCCACACCAGTGGCACCACTAACTAGCACCTTCCCAGGGCCTTCTTTTCCGCTTTACCGTAAAGAGTCGACACGGCTCACGCAAAAGAGGGGGATAGCCGCTTCTTCGTTCCCTCAAAAAAAAAGCCCCGACTAGCCTCCCCGATCCTCCCTGCCTTCGGAAAGTCTCAAGGTCGCCGGAAGATGATTGCGAAAAAGCCCCCCCCCCCCCCCCCACCCCCACACCTTTCCTACCCTGTTCACACCACCGCGTTTCAAGACGTCACAGCCCAAACGGCGAGGATTGGTTAGACTGGTTGTCTGTCGCTCCGTCCCCACCCCTCTTGCGTTTTTTTTCTTTGTCCGGCCAAACTTCAGCGCGATCTATGAAAAAGAGCGGACATGACGGTACCAGGTGAGTACCCCCTAAGATCTAAAACTGTTAACAAGGTAGTAGTAGTAGTAGTAGTAAACAATATTTATTTGCCCAAGCATGGGTTAATGACTGAACGGGAGACCCCTAGGGTCGCCCCGCTAGCCACCCCTCAGACGGCGGCCTGAACCCTCTGGGTTACGGCGGCCTGAACCTTCTGGGTTTTGGCGGCGTCTTCGGCCAGCTGGACTAGTTGGTTCTGCACCGAGGGGTCGGAGCAGAGGAGTAGGGTTTCCCAGCTCTCCTGGTTGTCGATCTTCTCCAGTAGGGGGTGAGACTTGCGGTCGATCCTGCTGCATTCCCACACCATGTGTCGGAGGTTCGCGTGGCCGCCGCAGAGCTTGCAGTTTGGCTTGTACTTGTCGGGGTACCATTTATTGAGTAGGGAGGGGCTCGGGAAGGAGCCCGTCTGGAGGCGGTGCCATGCCACCGACGTCCTCTTGTCCAGCGAGGGGTGCGCGGGTGGATAGCGTAACCTCTCGCCAGTGTAGTGATCGAGAATGTCCCCGAATTTGACCAGCCTGTCACTCCCCGAAAAAAAGGCCAGAGAAGAGTCCAGCGGCTCCCCGGCCCGGTGAGCGAGTTCTCGGGCCGCGCCGTGTGCCTTCTCGTTGCCGGGGAGCGACGAGTGCGCCGGTGTCCAGATGAGCTGTACTCTCGTTAACGTCTTCTCGGGGTCGCCCAGGACCTTGAGCGCGGCTGTAGAAATTCTTCCTTTGGCGAACTGCCGGATGGCTTGCTGCGAGTCGCTGACGACGATGCGTGCCCCCCGGACTCGAATCGCGAGGGCGATGGCCACCTCCTCCGCGACTTCCGGTTCGGACGTTTTGATACTGCAGCTCGAGATCACTTCTCCCTGTTGGTTGACCGCTGTTGCGACCATGGCACCCCCGCCGGCTCTAGCAGCGTCCGTATAGTGGACGCCCTCCGCGATGCTTAGCCGTTTCTGGAGCGCCTTGACTCGCGCCGCTCTGCGTTCCGCATGATGCGTCGGGTGCATGTGCTTTGGGATGTTTGGTATGACGAGGGCTTCCCTGACCCGCCTAGGGACGTCGGCCTTCTCCCCCGTTTGCCTCTCGTAGCGGATTCCAAGGCTGGCCAAGATGTGGCGGCCCGTGGCACTCTTCGTCAGCCTCTCTAGCTGCGAAACACGCTGAGCTTCTATGATCTCCTCTACCGTGTTGTGCAGACCTAAATCCGCGAGCTTCTCGTTCGAGGTGGTGTCCGGGATGCCGAGTGCTCTCTTGTATGACTTTCTGATGAGACAGTTGAGCTTGTTCGTTTCCGTGAGGCCGAGTCTTAGGAAAGGGAGGACGTACGCCAGTCTACTGACGACGAAAGTGCATACTAGGCGCACGAGGTTCTTCTCCTTCATGCCATAGTTTCTACCGGCGATTCGGGAGATGAGGCGCGTAATTTGGTACGCAGTTGCTTTTAGCGACGCTATCGTTTCGGAGTTGTTTCCGTCGGCTTGTATCCTGAGGCCTAGGACTCGTATGCTCCTGACCGTGGGGATTCTGTTACCCTGGGCGTACAGCTCGATGTCCGACGGCAGCTGGCGGGCACGGACCGGCTTGAGGAGGAGGAGTTCGGACTTCTGCGGGGAGCAGGCAAGGCCCCTTGGCTCGACGTAACTTTCCACCGCCCGAATCGCTTCTTGCAGCGTGTCTTGTATGAAACCGTCGCTGCCGCCGGTCACCCAGAGCGTGATATTGTCGGCGTAAATGCTGTGGTGTAATCCGCCGATCGCTTCTAGCTTCTCTGGAAGTCCGATCATGGCGACGTTGAAGAGGTACGGTGAAAGGACCGAGCCCTGGGGCGTACCTCTTCCTCCTAGCATGATGTCGTCTGACGTGGCGCCTCCGATCGAGATTTGCGCCGTTCTGTCGCTGAGAAAATCCTGAATGTAATCGTGCGTGCGAGCGCCCACTCCGAGCATTTCCAGGTTCTCGAGAACGGCGTCGTGCTTGACGTTATCAAAGGCCTTGGTAATGTCAAGCCCTAGTATCGCTCTCGTGTCTAGGCGCGAGCTCTGCTCACCGTCTATGATCTGATGCTTGAGCCGGAGCATGATGTCTTGCGTTGATAGCTGTGGTCGAAATCCGATCATGGTGTGCGGGAAGAGTTGTTTTCGTTCCATGTAGTTGTTCAGTCTGTTTAGGATAACGTGCTCCATCAGTTTTCCGACGCACGAGGTGAGGGAGATGGGGCGCAGCGCATCGAGCTGGGGCCTCTTCCCCGGCTTGGGGATCATGACCACTTTCGCCGCCTTCCACTGCCTGGGTATTTTCCCGTTCTGCCAGCACCTGTTCATTAATCGCGTTACTGCTGCGACCGCCTCCGTGTCCAGATTTCGAAGCATCTT